CAAAAGAGTAGGTTAAGGGGTGACCTGGTTACAGGCTGTAAGTACCTACATGGGGAAACAAGTATTTAATGATAGGGTCTTCAATCAAGCAAAGAAAACAACAACATGATCCAATGGAAATTCAGATGGGAAAAAGCCAATTTTTTTTTTTTTTTTTTTTACAGTGAGAATAATTACCATTGGAACAGTTTACCAAGGGCCATGGTGGATTTTCCACCACTGACAATTTTAAAGTCAAGATTGGATGTTTTTCTAATTTAAAAGATATGTTCTAGGAATTATTTAGGGGGAATTCTATGGCCTGTGTTTATCTCTAGATGATCACAATTGTCTGCTTCTGGCACTGGAATCTATGAATGTATTCGAGACCCATATCTCTCTGCAAGAACATAGGATTTTTTTTTTTTAATATGTTGCATGTGGCTATATGACAGCAGGCCAAGCAGACTTTGAGCATATTCACTTATTTACACAAAAATATATATGCTTCACAGCACAAATCTTGAATGTGATAATGAACACAACATGAAAGATTCACTTCCTCAGGCTTTCACATGCTAACTTTCTGCGCACAGAAAGTCCAGCAATTGCCCAAGAACACTACAATGCCTGCTTTTCAGAGAGTGAAAGAAGTATGGGAAAAGGGGAAAATGGGAAAAAAGACTTATCTACACTTATTTTGAAGCAAACTGGGGTGTAAACTCACACCATGCTAGCCTGCCATGCACAATGTGGACCCTGCTGCTGCATACTAAAAACTAAGTTGTACGCTTTCTTCTATCCCACTTTGAAATGGAAGCAGATTAAAGTACGCAAGGAACCCTTTAGTGCATGGTAGCAGTTTCCGCATAGACAGCTGGTGCACAGTAGGCTACTGCAAGACAGCTTTATGAGCCAGCTTGCAGAAAACTGTTTGTGTAGACAACCTCTAAAAAGGGATACATACAAGGATGTGTGTGTGCTTTAAATCTATAGCAGGAAGCAAGGCAGCAGGAGAGCTGGGCAAGATTTAGGCAGAAGTTCCACGGTCAAGCAGAGAAATAGCAGCTTTGGGGTAGCACTGATTTCATGATTCTAATGAAGTTCCTTGCGCAGTCAGAAGAAAGGAATGCCGCAATTCTTTACCATCGCAACACTGCAGGGCTGCCAAGGAAGACAGAAGGGGCCGGGGGCCTTTGGCTTGGCGTGTGTGAAGCCGGTCTCTCTGGAAGTATGAGGCGCACCTGCACACACAGGCGTCTGCACTTGACAAGCACTGCCTGCACCCGAACGCGTCTCTCGCCGAACACACTGGGCGTGCACGGCACGTTCCAGCCATGGGCCACTCCTAGCTCAGGGAAAACAGTCCAAGAGGTGGAGGACTGGCGTGTTGTCCCCCTTCACGCTCCCTGGGGCTGCCGGGGCGGGCAGCACCATGGGTGAGCGAGGGCTGCCCGCTCTCCAGCCGGCTGCGGGGAGATGCAGAGCGCACGGAACTGCAGCAACTCGGCTGAGGGCCCCGGGAATGCGGAACTAACCCCTTCCCGCGGGCACGGCCGCAGCGTCAGCACGGCCCCTCCCTCTTCCGCGGGCAGTCCTGGGGGCTGGGGGCTCGGGGCACCCCCCCATCGTCCCCGCCTCGCGGACAGGGCGGCCCCGGCTGCCCCCCTTGCCGCGGAGCAGCTGCGGCTCGGGAACAGGGCGACGTCCACCCGAAACACCCACAGGGAAAAGCGAATCCCGCTGCGCCCCAGACTCCTCAAAACGCCTCTTACCAGGCCCCAGCGGCTCTGCCTCCCAGCACAGCTGGACTCCGGACCCCGCAGTGCCGCCGCTCAGCTGATCGGCTACTCCCCCTGCTGCTGCTGCAGAAGTCCCCGGGAAAAGAGGCGGGGCTGAGGACCCCGGCCCCGCCCCCTCTCCTTGGCCCTATAGCGAGGAGTGACAACGAAAGCAGCTGCCTTCCGCCCCCTACTGTGCTGAGACTTGAGAGCCGGTGCCTGCGGCATGTAAGCAGGTGCCTCCCCACAGGTAGGGGCGGCAGGTTTGTATAACTTTTGGTGGTGCCCAGAACGGGTCCAAGTCCTGCCCTCATCCCACACCCGCCTAAGGCTGTGGGAGGGGTGCGGACTCTGGGAGGGAGTTTTGGTGCTGGGTGCAAGCTCTGGGCTGGGACACGGTTGGGGTGCGAGAGGGGGTTTGGGTGCTGGGTGTGGGCTCTGGGAGGCGGTTTGGGTGCTGGGTGCAGGCTCGGATGGGACAGAGGGTTGGGGTGCAGGAGAGGGTGTGAGGCTGAGGAGTTTGGGGTGCAGCAGGCAGGCTGCCCGGGGCTGGGGTGAGGGGCCAGAGAGGAGGACTCCCCCCAAGCCCTCTATCTGCCGGCAGTAGTGAGCTCGGGGGGGGGAGCCCCCCCCCGGCCCAACACTCACTCAAGCTCTCCCCTCCCCCCCAGGCTGCTGCTTAGGAGGTCCAGCCAAGATAAGCCCCCACCCGCTGCCCAGGGCAGGCAAGGATGCTCAGGGAAGGGGGCATGCGGGGGCAGTAGGTGGGGCTGGGGAAGAGACCCAGCCCCGAACATTGGTGGAGCTGGGCCCCCTGGGCCCTGAATTTGCTGGAGCCCGGGCACCACGGGCCCATACAACTCGCCGCCCCTGCCCACGGGCAGGCATCATCATAAGGGATCCTGAGAGGATTACTTCCTCATGGTTTGGGATCTCTTACCCCTTTAACTACCCAGCCAGCGCTCTCTCAGTGGGGATCATAGAATCATAGAATATCAGAGTTGGAAGGGACCTCAAGAGGTCATCTAGTCCAACCTCCTGCTCAAAG